ACACGGGGTCAACGACGAGGGAGTCATCGGGCGAGCCGCAGGATCGTCTGCAGGACGACCTGAGCGCCGCAAGGTCACCTAGGACTACAGACGGTATCGTATTACGCGCCTTACAACACCTCAGAGCGGAGAGTAGGATCCGTAGGAGAAGGTTAGTTCGGGGTAAGGACGAGTAGGAGAGCGGTGTAACAGAGAGCGCAGCATAGAATAGGGCTGCACGCCACTAGAGAGTGGGTTGGAAGCGCCTTGCTGGCTCGTACACACACACGGGTGGCTCGGTGGGTTAACAAGGGTTAATAAAATCTCGAGCGTAGTAACAAAACCGTGTTGTTGGGTGTTTTTGAACGTGGTATTAGCGTGCACTGCATTCGCGGGTGTGTGGTCGTTGTATGCGTAAAAGCTGTGGTCTCTGTACTATGGTGCGGGTACGGAGGTGTGTGTGTTAACGCCCGGGGGGAGCACTTTTGTGTGTTGGCGTGCCTACGCAGCCGTGTGAGAGGAGAATCGTCCTTGCACGATACTTGTGTTGACGTGCACGCGCGAGTGCGGGAGGGGACGAGTCGTCGTGTCGGCGTGCACCCCGCTCGCGTGTGCGAAACCGCGGTGCGCAGTGAAGCTGTTAGCTTTGTGCGAGCTTGCGTGTGCTCGAGCGCGTAATCGGCTGCGCATTGTTGTACGGTTTATCTCGCGCGCACGGCGGCGGCAACTTGAGTCGTTGTGTCGGCGTGTGCCCCGCTTGCGGGTGCTCGTTACGTGTTATAAGTGTGAACGCGTGTGGTACGGTGTTTGCGTAAGCTCTCGTCGTGCGAAATCGGCGTGCCCCAGGTGCGCGATTGTAACGTGAGCGGCCAGCGCGGCGCAGAGCGGCGCAAGAGTGAGTGCAGCGCAGAGCTGTGTGTGTGGGTGTGCGTGTACGTAATTAACCATGCCTGCTACGCGGACCCGCGGTGGAGTGGAATCCTCGGGCGACGGCTCTCACACCATGGGTGAGGAACTTAGCAGCGGTTCGCTTAGCAGCGGGGGGGCGATTGATGATGCTAGTCCGGCCGTTAGCATTATCGAGGGAGGGATCTCGGGGGCTAGCGACCCCCACATTGTCTTTCATTTTCAACACCACCCTCAACACCACCCCTCCCACGGACGGACGGACGGACGGACGGACACATTAATCTATTGGTGGTCTGGTCCACTTCGTTCCTACCAGTATTAACACTTAACCCTATGGGAGCCTTAGTCTGGCTCTGAAAACCTCAGTGATTAAGACTGAACCGTATTTGAGCCTTAATCGGGCTCTGTGAGCCTCAGTGATTAACACTGAACCCTGTGGGAGCCTTAGTCTGGCTCTGAAAGCCTCAGTGATTAACACTGAACCCTATGGGAGCCTTAGTCTGGCTCTGTGAGCCTCAGTGATCAACACTGAACCCTATGGGAGCCTTAGTCTGGCTCTGTGAGCCTCAGTGATCAACACTGAACCCTGTGGGAGCCTTAGTATGGCTCTGTGAGCCTCAGTGATTACCACTGAACCCTATGGGAGCCTTAGTCTGGCTCTGTGAGCCTCAGTGATTAAGACTGAACCCTATGGGAGCCTTGGTATGGCTCTGTGAGCCTCAGTGATTACCACTGAACCCTATGGGAGCCTTAGTCTGGCTCTGTAAGCCTCAGTGATTAACACTGAACCCTATGGGAGCCTTAGTCTGGCTCTGTGAGCCTCAGTGATTAACACGAACCCGGGCTACGGGAGCCTTAGTCTGGCTCTGTAAGCCTCAGTGATTAACACTGAACCCTATGGGAGCCTTAGTCTGGCTCTGTGAGCCTCAGTGATTAACACTGAACCCTATGGGAGCCTTAGTCTGGCTCTGTGAGCCTCAGTGATTACCACTGAACCCTATGGGAGCCTTAGTCTGGCTCTGTAAGCCTCAGTGATTAACACTGAACCCTATGGGAGCCTTAATCTGGCTCTGTGAGTCTCAGTGATTAACACTGAACCCTATGGGAGCCTTAGTCTGGCTCTGAAAGCCTCAGTGATTAAGACTGAACCGTATTGGAGCCTTAATCGGGCTCTGTGAGCCTCAGTGATTAATACTGAACCCTATGGGAGCCTTAGTCTGGCTCTGTGAGGCTCAGTGATTAACACTGAACCCTATGGGAGCCTAAGTCTGGCTCTGTAAGTCTCAGTGATTAACACTGAACCCTATGGGAGCCTTAGTCTGGCTCTGAATGCCTCAGTGATTAACACTGGACGCCATGGGAGCCTTAGTCTGGCTCTGTGAACCTCAGTAATTAACACTGAACGCTATGGGAGCCTTAGTCTGGATCTGTGAGCCTCAATGATTAACACTGAACCCTATAGGAGTCTTTGTCTGGCTCTGTGAGCCTCAGTGATTAACACTGAACCCGATGGGAGCCTTTGTCTGGCTCTGTGAATCTCAATGATTAATACTGAACCCTATGGGAGCCTTTGTCTGGCTCTGTAAGCCTCAGTGATTAATACTGACCCCTATGGGAGCCTACGTCTGGCCCTGTGAGCCTCAGTCATTAACACTGAACCCGATGGGAGCCTGAGTCTGGCTCTGTGAGCCTCAGTGATTAACACTGAACCCGATGGGAGCCTTTGTCTAGCTCTGTGAGTCTCAGTGATTAACAGTGAACCCTATGGGAGCCTTAGTCTGGCTCTGTGAGTCTCAATGATTAACACTGAACCTGATGGGAGCCTGAGTCTGGCTCTGTGAGACTCAGTGATTAACACAGACCCCTATGGGAGCCTTAATCTGGCCCTGTGAGCATCAATGATTAACACTGAACCCTATGGGAGCCTTAGTCTGGCGCTGTGAGCCTCAGTGATTAACACTGAACCCTATGGGAGCCTTAGTCTGGCTCTGAATGCCTCAGTGATTAACACTGAACCCTATGGGAGCCTTAGTCTGGCTCTGTGAGCCTCAGCAATTAACACTGAACCCTATGGAGGCCTTAGTTTGTCTCTGTGAGCCTCAATGACTCAACACTGGACGCCATGGGAGCCTTAGTCTGGATCTGTGAGCCTCAATGATTAACACTGAACCCTATGGGAGCCTTTGTCTGGTTCTGTGAGCCTCAGTGATTAACACTGAACCCGATGGGAGCCTTTGTCTGGCTCTGTGAATCTCAATGATTAATACTGAACCCTATGGGAGCCTTTGTCTGGCTCTGTGAGTCTCAATGATTAACACTGAACCTGATGGGAGCCTGAGTCTGGCTCTGTGAGACTCAGTGATTAACACTGAACCCTATGGGAGCCTTTGTCTGGCTCTGTAAGCCTGAGTGATTAACACAGACCCCTATGGGAGCCTTAGTCTGGCCCTGTGAGCCTCAGTGATTAACACTGAACCCGATGGGAGCCTTCGTCTGGCCCTGTGAGCCTCAGTGATTAACACTGAACCCGATGGGAGCCTGAGTCTGGCTCTGTGAGCCTCAGTGATTAACACTGAACCCTATGGGAGCCATTGTCTGGCTCTACAAGCCTCAGTGATTCACACTGAACCCTGTGGGAGCCTTAGTCTGAGTCTGTGAACCTCAGTGATTAACGCTGAACCCGATGGATGGGAGCCAGTGACATGCCGTGAGGTCAGTGGCTGGGGAGGCACCGGGGGCGTGGCCTCACCGAGGAAGGGGGTGTCCGACACGCCCCCCCTCGGTGAGGCAGATGTGATAGTTGCCTCCCCTGGTGCTTTTTCATTGCAGTTTTATGACGAGACCAGCGAGCCTACATATCTTTATACATATACGTGAATAAGTTACCTGGAGTATGGAAGGCGAGGACATGTAATGAAGGGGTCTACAAACATTCCATTGGTGACATGCTGAGATAGCAACAGGCACGCCCTTACTGCCATCGTTCCATCCAGTGTCTGAGGGGTTGCACAATCAGAGGGGAGGCTGAGCGCGTCGCTGCCTCACCCCTCGTCTCGCCCTGTACTTGCAGCGAAGCTCCGCAAATTTGGAGATTTTGACTATAAGTAAAAACTTTTTTTCAAAACACGCTTTCATTAAATGTACGAGTAATGGAAGAACTCCACGACTCTAGGAAGTGGCCCCGAAGTTTGCCATAACGTAAGGGACGGTGGACAATTACATCCAACGTCAGTTGACCATGGGAACAATTAGACCCAAGCCAAAACATAACATGTAAAAAAGATTGTTTAAAATTATTTTATTTAATGATAGGATATAGTATTGTCATCATAATGGCATGAGTACAGTGAGGGAAAAAAGTATTTGATCCCCTGCTGATTTTGTGCGTTTGCCCATCGTGGACAATTAGACCCAAGCCGAAACATAACATATGAAAAAAAATGTTTACAAATATATACACATTTATAAAAAAAAGTATTTAATTAAGTAGAACCAACGTGACTTTCCCGAAAAAAACAAAGTATGAATCCTTGCAGTCACGAAAGCTTCAAATCTAGAATTAAGCAGAACGTTTTGTCTATACTCTATATGTATTTAAAGTTGTGCATTTTGATGTGACGTCACATTTCTCAAACCCCCGCCCCCCTGGTCTCCTTTCTAATAAATCTTTTCTCCTACAACATCAGAGTGCAGCGCCACATTAAATACGCACTACAACGACAATAGTTTAAAGCGATTTGAAGCGTGTTTTATATATTTGGGGGGGGGGGCAGAGCTTTGTGACGTCATATTTGAGGGGGTCTGACTTTATGTGACGCTGTGTGACGAGGGGGTGAGGGGGGTCAAAATTCGGCCAAAATAACGTGACGTCATTTATGAACGGCCCCAATACGCAAAACTGGAACTCTGACCCCCGTTCTCTGACGTCACCACTAAGCATTACCTCATCGGTGTGAAACGCCAGGGGGGGCGGTGCGCCTTGCTAGTGACGTCATGTCACCCCTGCTTGGTCCCCGTCGATGTCTGACCCGTACAATCCTTATTTGGGCAAAGCTACGCCCAGTGACTGGCGGCTCATTAACATAATCTAGGATCTAAGCTTTGGTGACTGCAGGAATTGCTCATTGGTTATTTCGGTAAAGAAATTAAATAAAATTAACATAATATATTCGTTAAAAGCCGTCGCGAGTTTGTTTTTTATTGCGACGGGTTCAGCACCCACGCCCCATCATCCCTCGACGCGTGACTTTACCGAAAGAGCCAATGAGTGTACAACGAGTTGAGTCATTCCTGCAGTTGACGAAAGCTTCAATTCTCGAATAAGTTATTCAGTTACCCAGCCCCGCTCGTTGGGGCCGTGTCTTGTACCCCGGAAGTGAATATTACGTCACATCCTGCTGCCGCCATAACGTAGCGAGGTAACGAGAAGCTGCCGATGAAATCCGAGGTGAGAGATTTTCATCGTGGTGGTGGTGGTGGTTGTGGTGGTTGTTGTGGTTGTTGTGGTTGTTGTTGTTTACCAAGGTAGAGCCTCGCTCTCGTAGGGATATCAATTGAGTCGCAGCGAGTATGGGAATCCATGCAACGTGGGGCCTAGCAACGCGGGGCCTCGCCTCCTGCCCTCGCCTGAAGGCCTTTGCTTGAATTCTCTCGCTTCAACTTGATCTGGAAGCTTTCGTGAGGGCAGGAGAAATACAATAAATGAAGAAACAACCAATTTAATTGAGTTGTTTTTTCATATTTTAGTTCTACCTACGTGACTTTACCGAAAAAAACAAAGAATTATCTCGTTTAAACTTGGTCTGGAGCTTCGTGAGTGCAGGGATCCATACTATTTGGTTCTTTCGGTAAAGTCACGTAGAAAGAAAACATTAATTAAGTAATAGCATACGACGTTTCCTTTGCAACACGAGCAATCACCATCGGGTACAAATGAATGAGAAAGCAAAGCTTGTAAACTTGAACTATACTCTTTGGTTCTTTCGGTAAAGTTACGTAGGTATAAAATTAAATAAACTTAGAACTACAATGCAATACAACACAGAGAGTCGGATAAGATAAGTCAACTCCCCACCTGGTTTATTAACGTTCTTCCAAAGATTGCTAAATTTGAGAGAGAGAACTCAACACAGACACGGAGACACACAGACACATACACACAAGCAGAGAGAGATAACACAGACACACAGAGAGAGACACATAAGCAGAGAGATAACACACAGAGAGAGAGAGACACACACACATGCACACAGAGAGAAAGCACATACAGGCACACAGAGAGATAACACAGACAGAGACACACACATAGGCACACAGCGAGACACATAGGCACACAGAGAGAGAGACACACACAGAGAGAGACACCACAAAGACGCACAGAGAGACACACACACAGATAGGTACACAGAGAGAGATAACACGAAGACAGACACACACATAGGCACACAGAGAGAGACACAATGAGAGAGAGAGAGACACACATAGGCACACAGAGATAACAAAGAGACAGAGAGAGACACACATAGACACACACACATAGGCACACGGAGAGAGAGATACACAGAGGCACACAGAGAGAGACATACACATAGGCACACAGAGACACACACATAGGCACACAGAGAGAGATAACACAGACACAGAGAGACACAGACACACAGGCACACGGAGAGAAATAACACAGACACAGAGACACACATAGGCACACACAGAAACAACACCTGTGTTAAGGCCTTAAATAGAGAGAGAAGGGGGCTGAGGCAGAGGGGGGGGGGGGGGTAAAGAAATGAGCATGGCAATGAGAGATTTGGAGCTTTCGTGACTGCAGGAAATACTACAACACGAGGACACTTTAAGTTTTTATTTTATGTAACCAGGCCAAGCCTACTTGAGCTGCTGTACCGCTCTTATGATTTGAAGCTTTCGTGAGTGCAGGAATCCATACTCTTTGGTTCTTTCGGTAGAGTCACGTAGGTAGAAAATAAAATAAATCACGACGTTTCGGGCGCAACACAAGCGTCCGTTCTTGTTTTTAGAAGCGACCTGCCCACACAACAAAGGTGGGCTTTGTCAACGTGTGGAAATGAATATCGGTCAAAGGCTCTAAACGCGTGCTCATATTCACTCTTAAATGTGGAGGGCGATCTGGAGGAAAATCCACGCCACCACAGAGAGAGGGAGACACGCAAACTCAGCCATGTTGATTTGATCCTGAATTATTTGGTGGAGTGAGGAAGCATTGAAAACTTGGTTTAGCCATGTTTGTTTTTTGTAGTACACTGTTAGCCTGATAACTTTAATCTAAATTGTCCTATGGCTGTTTTTGTTGACTTGCATCCCACTGGGATTTTCTGCATACAGCGTTGAAATGCGGTGTTTTTTCTGCAGTTTTTTATCCTGGATTTTTCTGTTGCGTGTAGTCACTTTAAGATTTTTCTTGTTCACGTTTTTGTTTGTTGCGTTTGCCCCCGAGTCAAGAGCCGCATGGCTCACGGGGTTATCTTTATATAAAAGGGAAATTTGTGAATGTGTATCTGTTCGAAATGTTTAGCATACTTTCCGACACGCAACAAACTTAAAATTTGGCATGTGGGTACCTTCCAGACTGTACACAATGCAAAAAGTATAAAAATGGACTTTTGCATTTTTCTGGGGGGGCGCAATAATGGATATATTTTGCACGGCAAGTGAGCGGTGACCTCACGTCTGTTATGTCACCCGCATGCGGCAGCGTCACGTAGTGTGGATCCTGACGTTACGCATCCCCCACCCCCCATCCTCCGCGTAGGCCGTGGATTCATTCAAGACAAGAGTCCAAGTCTCGGGCGAAGCCAGGTAGTAAAGCTAGTATCTAATAAATGAAACTGAAATAAATAAATGAAACTGAAATATTAATACTGAGCAGATGAAGGTGTGGGGCCAGGCATGGTTCTGGACACGCCACCACCTGTTTAACACGGCAGTGTCAAGTTTGTGTTTGCAGTAAAGTCTATTAATTATATTGAAAACGGAGGTTATATGAAAACAATGGTTTATGTTTTTTGTTTTTATCTGGAACTCTATGAGAATGGAAGCAGTCAGGAAGTTGACACAGCACACATGCAGCTGACGTTAGATCTGTTCATCCCAGCATTCAAGGAAATCTGAGCCTGGCTTCACACCTCTAAGTTGCGATTTAACATGAATTCATGCATAACACAAGTAGTATTATTTTCAACACCCTTTGCTATGTCAGCTGAATTTAGCTCTCATGAATATTCATTTTGCAGCCAGACAGCCGAAATTGTGTGCTTGGAGTTTTGGGTTAACATTCATTTTGAAGATACGACGGCTTCCAGGAATGTTTATGACCATTTGCCCTCTCATAGTGCGCCATAACAGCCCGTGTGATGAATTTGGGAAACTTTTTAACTCTGTCATGAATATATGAATGCGTATAGACGTGTTATTCATGTGTGACTGTGTTTATATATACTCTTTGGTTCTTTCGGTAAAGTCACGTAGGTAGAAATAAAAGAAGTAATATTTAAAAAAAAATTTAAAACACGCTTTTATAAAATGTACTAGTAATGGAAAAACTCCACGACTCCAGGAAGTGGCCCCGAGGCTTGTCGTAACACAAGCGACCGTGGTCAGTTACAGCCAATGCCAGTTTACCGTGGACAATTAGACCCAAGCCAAAACATAACATGTACAAAAGATTGTTTAAAATGTTTTTATTTAATGATATAATATAGTATTGGCATCAGTATGGCATAAGTATACCAAGTTTGCAGTCGATACCACATTGGGAAGTGGGTTAAAATGGAGTTACAAGATTTGAGGATACAACAACGACAACAATGACAACAACAACAGACAGAGTGAGTTAAATGAAAGCGTGTATTAAAATAAATCACGCAAGAACATCTCAGCTATCGCGATTTTCACCCCAAGACGAATGCTTGTGTTGTGTTCGAAACGTCATTTATGTTATTTTTACCTACGTGACTTTACCGAAAGAACCACATAGAGTATGGATTCTTGCAGTCATGAAAGCTTCAAATTAAGATTGTGTACATATATATGCGTATATTCATTCCTCTGTGCCTCAATACTGACGTGTAGATGGTATTTTCTGTCGGGAAAATGTCAAAACTGGGTGGTTTTTAACTTTTGCCGACAAAACTGGATCCCAAATGTCAAAACTGGGTGGTCTTGGAAAACGACAGGCAAAACAGGGTGGTGCTTTTTGATATGACAAAACTGGGTGATGTTCAATGTGGACAAATGTCAAAACTGGGTGAAGGTGTACGATTTAATGTATCATTTTGTACACGTTTAGGTCCTTGCGTTATTCATCCATATGTCGCCACAGATTTAGAGCATTCCAAATGATGTTTCTCGTGGCTCATGTTCCATACCTTGCACCACAAACTTCCCGTTTGCATACTGGCACAGTGTGCCAGCTCGCTTACTTGCCGTTTGTATACTGGCACAGTGTGCCAGCTCGCTACTACAGTAACACTTACTTGCCATATGTATACTGGCACAGTGTGCCAGCTTGCAACTACAGTAACACTTTCAGCTCGCGAACATACACGAACTTGCCATTTGTATACTGGTACAGTGTGCCAGCTTGCATGCTACACCTACTACAGTAGAACAACGGTAGATAGTGTTTGCGTCGAGAAGTATGGTGCTGCACACTTAGAACAAAACATGTTTGTTACATATATATAACTACTTCGACGGGCAAGAGCACTTGTTGTGGCCCTTGGCGCGACAGAAGGAGCACCGCGTGAGGCCCAATGGGCCACCTTCGCCACGGTTGCGAATCCGACGCTTCTTCAGGCGGCCAGCCTTCTTCTGGCGAGGAGGTGGCATCATGGTGTTGTCGCGTTGCAGCTCCTCGGCAATGGGCAGCTCGATACCGGCAACCGAGGTCCATGTCGTGTTGATGGCAGAGACTTGGTAACACACCGCACATGCGTCGTAGAGCTCGGGCATCCGCCCAAACGCCATGAGGGCACGAATGTAGTGCCGACACGGCAAGCCCATCTGCTTCATGTACCCGCACGTGCACGACCGAGAGCTGAGATCGACTCGGCGCTTGGCAGAGGCGTAGGCGTCTGGATTCTTGACGTATGCACGCGTCGAGGTACTCTCGTAGATCTTGTACCTCGGGGCCAACGCCTGCTGAGCGTCGATGAGTCCTTGAGCGTACGGCGTAATGACACGCCCTTGAGCGGCCCACTTCTCGGCGTCGCTGCGGTGGGCAAAGGCCGTCGTCATCATGTCTTCCATGTGGTGCATGAGGAAGTGGAAGGGGTCCATCTCGCGAGCCGGCAGGGCCTCGCTGTTCGTGGACTCCACAAAGTTCGTCGTGCGCCAGCCGTACAATGGCGTCGTGTGCAGGTGCGGGTAGAGCGCCCACGTGTGGGGGTCGATCTTGTTGTAGTACGTGGCCGCCGCAGGCAGAGCTACGCCCAAGCAGCCCAAGGAGCTGCGGAACGCGGCCTCGGAGGCGCACCCTTGGGCATTGTAGATGATGCCTTGGAGGTCAGGCGTGAACGCGGAGCCGATGTTGTCCACGCCGTTGCAGATCAAATGCCGCGTGCAGTGGATGAGCATGAGGTCCTTCCAGTCGGAGGCTAGGATGCCCGTGCCACGATCGCAGAAGACCGGCGTGCCGTCGAGCTCGATGTCGTTGGTCGTGCAGCAGTTGAGAAACCAGTCGTAGGCCGCTGCCGTCTCGGACGGCACCAGCGCCACGGCGAGAAGGACGTTGCGGTTGTTGCCGTCGCGCCCAACGAGGACGAGCATGGTTCCGTTGTAGGCGCGCGCCTTCATGTGCGACCCGTCGATGCCGACGACGCGTTGAAGACTTGGCTGCAACGAGCGTGCGATCGGGTTGCAGATGAACGCACCCCAGAAGATGCCCGCGTCTTCTCGCACACTGCAGGTCGTCGCTTTGAGCTTGCCGAACGTCTCCACCAGCGAGTTGATGAACTCGAAGCCTGCATGGGCCGCACTCTCGTTCGCCGCGATGCACGTGTCCTTGGCGCGGTACATCATCCGGGTCGGGACAATGACGCGAGCAACGTCGGCGACCTGGGCAATGACAGTCGGTGCGGAGGTACGGGGGTTGGCGCGAAAGGCCGAACGGGCTGTCGTGTTCGCCTCCACTTGGCGCTGCGTGATCTTGGTAGTGCCCGTGCAGCCGTGGTGATCCGTGCACAGCGCCGAGACGCGGAAGCCGCGTCGTTCCCCCGTGAGCTTCGTCAGCTTCACCTTGAAGGAACAAGGTGTTGAACTAGAGCAGACGATGGCAACGTGCCGTCCGCCGCTTCGCTTGAGGTCAAGGACCGCGCGCTTGCCTTGTTGCAAAGCAAAGTCTTGGATGCCGTGGATGGCCTCGCGGCGCGTGGTAAAAGTCTTCTTGGGGTGGAGGGTTGCCATTCGAATGTGAGCCGTTCCTCCACCTGTTTCGTGAAAAATGCTTGTGAAAAATCACGTTTCTACGTCTACTTTCAATTTTTCACGAGACAATGTCTATTTTCATTGCCAGCAATTTGATTTTTCACACAATATTTCCGCCAATCACCGTAACGGTGGGCCAAAGGATTGACCAATCAACGAGATGCGCATTCGTTGGTTGGTTCCGCACCATTGGGACCATGGTCAGGAGCGTCAAGCAGGCTGGTCCATCTCCCAAGGACGTCGCCTTTGTCTCTGTGCTTGGTCGTTTGGCGGGCTATGGTCGAATGCATGGCAAATTTAAGGGTGTACAGTAGCGCGTAGCATCAACCAACAATCCAAAAGTTTGGTATTGACGCGAGTCACTAGTCTAGGTCATCACGCAAGGTGGCAGTGCGCCCGCCTGGTCGCAAGCCCGCCCCAAACTCACTTCCGAGTCCGAGCCGTAGCTTGAAATGTTGGTTGTTGGGGTGCTGGCACACTGTGCCAGCGTACAAATATCAAGTGTGTGTAGTTATATGGTGCTGGCACACTGCCAGCATACTAATACCAAGTGTTTAGATGAATGGGGTGCTGGCACAGTGTGCCAGTATACAAATACCAAGTGTTTGGATGAATGGGGTGCTGGCACACTGTGCTAGTATACAATTATCAAGTGTATTTGACAAATGTCAAAACTGGGTGCACCCTGAGTGTCCAAAACTCAAGTTTTTGGCCACCCAGGGTGCACCCAGTTTTGACATTTGGGATCCAGTTTTGTCGGCAAAAGTTAAAAACCACCCAGTTTTGACATTTTCCCATTTTCTGTCTGCAGCTGTCGCTTGCTCTGACGCTTCCTCTGCAGAATTGGTCTGATGGAACACAGGCAGTCAGCGCGGCTCGGTACGGCAAGGCAACAATGGGACCAGCGTGCATACATCACGGTTCGGACTGGAAGTTTGACACAGCACCAGAAAAAACACACGGGAGAGAAACCCTTGAAGTGCAGTGTGTGTGGGAAGGCATTTTCACATTCATCTGATCTTACAAAACACCAGAGAACACACACAGGAGAGAAACCCTTCAAGTGCAGTGTGTGTGGGAAGGCATTTTCACAGTCACAAAATCTTACGCAACATCTTGCACAACACCAGAGAACACACACAGGAGAGAAACCCTTCAAGTGCAGTGTGTGTGGGAAGGCATTTTCACAGTCATCTTATCTTACAAAACACCAGAGAACACACACAGGAGTGAAACCCTTCAAGTGCAGTGTGTGTGGAATGGCGTTTGCACGTCCATCAAATTGTCGAATACACCAGATAACACACACAGGAGAGAAACCCTTCAAGTGCACTCTGTGCGGGAAGGCGTTTGCACGGTCACAAGGTCTTAAAGAACACCAGAGAACACAGACGCATCAGAAAATCCACAAGGAGTGGAGTCTGAAATCAGCTTGTGAAAGTCAAAGTGCCGTAAGGAGCCCATCCCTCATGAAACAAGTACCGGAAGAAAATCCCAGCTTGGGCACTTTTAAAGGTATCAAGGCAGAATTTGAAGAAGTGATTGTGAAATGTGAAGAGGTGACGGTGAAGAGCGAAGAAGTGAAGGTAAAATGTGAAGATGAAGATTTGACTCCAAAATGGGACCTTCACATCGATGGAGGCAACGTGAAGCAGGAGGGGAATTCTGACTGTGATGTAGAGGGAGGCAACTCACAGCAGTTTGTGGAAGTGGAGGTGTGGGTGGACTTCCTAGACAATACAAAGTCAAATGGAGACCCGGTAGATGTGTAAGCTTGACGATGTCGCTCCCAATAGATGCACCTTTGTCACAAATATTAGGTTCAACCTGCAGGGTCTGTTAGTAGGGTAGATATCTCACCAGGAGCCTCAGTGATTCACACTGAACCCTATTGGAGCCTTCATCTGGCTCTGTTTAATGAAATGTACTGTCCGAGCTGCCCCCTTCCCCCATCGCAACTCCCCTCCTTCCACATGCCCCGCCCCTGGGCGTATCTCCCCGAGGCTTGCCGTGACGTAAGGGACCGTGGTGATTTACAGGCAACGTCAGTTGAGCGGGGACAATTCGAGCCGTTAAAAAGATTGTTTAAAAATATTTGTTTTTTAATGATAGAATATAGTATTGTCATCAGTATGACATACCTATACGACGTTTGCATTCGATACATTGGGAATACGGTTGAAATTGAGTTAAAAGATTTTTGGATACAACACATACAGTAAGTTAAATAAAAGCGTGTAAAATGTAAAAAATATATGTTTTGGATTTTTTTAATGATATAATATCGTGTTGTCATCAGTTTGACTCAGCTCGCTATACCAAGTTTGCAGTTCATAGCACATTGGGAAGTGTGTAAAATTTGAGTTACAAGATTTTGTTTTTGAGGATACAACAGACGAAGTGAGTTAAATAGAAACGTGTAAAAAATTAACCTGTAAAAACAAAGTTTTTCACTATAAATCCTTTATATGCGTGGCATCGGTTTCATTTTATTATTCATTTCTGTTTTTCTTGAGTAAGAGTTTCATTTTTATCACATTGGTATTTCAAATTAAATATAAGGAAAGTCGTATATAAGCATTATAAGGTTTTCAGTTTTTGTATGATTGTTTATATTGTACATTTTTGTTCTTTTTTTTGAAAAATTTTCTATGTTTAGGAAAAATATATGATTGTGTTAGTGACATTTTTTTTTCCTAAAAAGTGGAAAATTTTGGGAAAAAAATTTCACGAAAATAAATTGTCACGCACAACGAGTCTGTGCAAAATATTCTTTGGTTCTTTCGGTTAAGTCACGTCTATTATTTTAATTTATTGTTTTATCTTTAGACGTGACTTAACCGAAAGAACCAAAGAATAATTCCTGCAGTCACGAAAGCTCCAAAATTAAGATTATATGCAAAATGTCAGCTCGATTGGATCACGGGAAGTGGGTTAAAAAACGACCGAAAGATTTGCACGGCCGTAAGCGCGCAAGCAAGCAAGTGAACTTAATATAAAGGATTTAAAAATGATTGCGATCATCTTCTTGGTCCTTTCGGTAAAGTCACGTAGAAGGGAAATAATAAAAATAAAATAATTCTCACGACGTTTCGGCCACAACGCAAGCAGGTCTGTCACCTGAGGGGACGGCTGCTTGCGTTGTGGCCGAAACGTGAGAATTTTATTTTATAGTGTTTAATTTTTATTATTTTATTATTTCCCTTCTATGTGACTTTACCGAAAGAACCAAGAAGATGAATCCCTGCAGTCACGAAAGCTTTAAATCGAAAATGATTGGAATCTTACAGAAATGACATAACACCCAATTTCAAAGCAGATGCTGTCCACCCTTCTGAAACGCCGTGTAATTTACGAGTTTTGAATAATTGTAACCAAACAATAAACCAGACACGTGAATTTGTGAACTTTCACTGCAACGTGTGTCGAGACCTTTAATCTGTGTAATCGGCCACGTGTGTGTGTACATACAAAGACCCCCCCCCCGTATAGCCTTCACAGACTATTGGGGCAAGTGCTGTTAGCAGGTGGCGATGTTCGCACACCTGCACCGGGTACGCATTTGAGGCTGAGTCGATGTAGGGGCGGCTCAGGACTGGTTAAAAAAAATCGCCACTGGTTATGGGGGCCGTCCATAAATGACGTCACGCGATTTTGGACGATTTTTGACCTTCCCACCCGCGTCACAGCTTTCCTTTGAGCCTAGTCTCACATGGGTTGGACCAGATGACGCCAAAAGGTGCACAACTCAAAGACAATGCACCATCAGAGTATGAGAGCTCGGGGTAAGCATTTACACCATTGGAACCTCATTTGCCAGTAAAATATGATAATTGGTTTTACCCTTCTTGTTGCCAGATAGAAGGTTAAAAAACCAAGGAAAGCTGTCTCGGGTGTGGACCAATCAACTTCAAGGACAGTGCACATTATCAGAGTTATATTTTTGTTTTCATTATGACTGCAGGTATTGTGGTCTATGCAAACATGACTCCTTGTAAAAAGGTCAGTTTTGTTGCCAGATAGAAGTGTAATAAAAGACTCGGACGCTTCTCTCTGTCCTGTGTCCTTTATTTGGGTTCGATCTCTTTTCCCTCACGGCACTCCCCTTTACTCTTCGCTCTGCAGCCCCAGGCAGCTATCGCTCACGTAGCCCACTTCACAGCACTCCCCTATATACTCTTCGCTCTGCAGCCCCAGGCTGCTGTCGCTCACATAGCCCACTTCCCTCCTTGCAGACCCGCTGCTGTCTCGTCGCGCAGACCCCCGCTGCCGAACTCCACCCTTGCAGACCCGCTGCTCTCTCTGCAGTCTCCTCGCTGCTCCTCCAGCCCCGGGGTCGGTCACCGTTGGCTGACGGTGCCGATCCTCGGGGTGTGTGTGTGTGTGGCGATCTCGCCACTCTCTCTCTTCCCCACTCCGCCCTGCGTGGCCTCACACTTTCCCAGTCTCCGATCACTCCCTACTGCTTCCGGTTTCTCCCCTTATAGACCTGCACTCTCTCCCCCACGTGACGTAACTCCTCCCCCCATGACGTCACCTCCGGAAGGTCGTCCACGCCCGCATTACAGAAGGGTTAAAAAACAATTATCATAAGTATAACGTGTTGTCTATATTTATTTAAAGTTGCGCATTTTGATGTCATGTCACATTTCTCAACCCCCACCCCTCCCTCGTCACACATCGTCACAAATGTCTGACCCCCCCCCATAGGTGCGTGACGTCATTTATGGACAGGCCCTTTCCAAAGCCTCCTTTTTAAATCCTTTATATTAAGTTCGCGTGCTTGCTTGCTTGCTTAGGACCGTGCAAATTTTTCGGTCGTTTTTTAACCCACTTCCCGTGATCCAATCGAGCTGACATTTTCCACACAGACTCGTTGTGCCAGACAATTATTGTTCGTGGAAAAAAATTCCCAAAATTTTACACTTTTTAGGCAAAAAAATGTATTTTACATATATTCAAATTGAACGCATTCATGGCTTTGGCTGAACGTCAGAGTGTAAGAGCCCAGAGCGTAACCCCTCCACAGGCCGTGGCGGAGTAGCGCAGTTGGTAGCGCCCTCGCTTCCCATGCCAAAGGTCGCGGGATCGATCCCCGCGTCCTCCACAGGCGAATATATTTTTAAATCCTTTATATTAAGTTCGCTTGCTTGCTTAGGACCGTGCAAATCTTTAGCTCGTTTTTTAACCCACTCCCCGTTATCCAATCGAGCTGACATTTTCCACACTGACTCGTTGTATGTGACAATTAATTTTCGTGAAAAAAAAATCAAATTTTGCACTGTTTAGGGAAAACAAATTAAATATGTAATTATCAATTGCTTAATGGTGGCAGACAATCATCTGACCCATAGGTGGCAGCCATCTCAAGCCAGAGGACGAGAGGACTCTAGCCGCCACGCATATAAAGGAATTATAGTGAAAAACTTTGTTTTTACTGGTTATGCTTATATTAAGTTCGCTTGCGCGCTTGCTTGCTTGCTTACGACCGTGCAAATTTTTCGCTCGTTTTTTAACCCACTTCCCGTGATCCAATCGAGCTGACATTTTGCACACAGACTCGTTGTGCGAGACAATTAATGTTCGTGAAATATTTTTTTCAAAATTTTACACTGTTTAGGAAAAACAAATTAAATATTTAATTACCAATTGCTTAATACTGGCAGACAATCATCTGACCCATAGGTGGCAGCCATCTCAAGCCAGAGGACGAGAGGACTCTAGCCGCCACGCATATAAAGGATTTATAGTGAAAAGCTTTGTTTTTACGGGTTACACTTATTAATAAATGTTCTCTCCTACAACATCAGAGTGCAGCGCCACATTAAATACGCACTACAATGACAATAGTTTAAAGCGATTTGAAGGTAGTTTTTTTGGGGGGGGGTTGGGGGGCAGAGCTTTGTGACGTCATATTTGAGGGGGGTCTGACTTTGTGACGAGGGGGGGGTCAAAAATCGGCCAAAATCGCGTGACGTCATTTATGGACGGTCCCGATACGCAAAACTTGAACTCTGACCCCCGTTCTCTGACGTCACCACTAAGCGTTACCTCATCAGCGTGAAACTCCTGGGGGGCGGTGCGCCTCGCTAGTGACGTCATGTCACCCCTGCTTGGTCACTGCCGATGTCTGTTCCGGTACAATCCTTATTTGGGCAAAGCTACGCCCAGTGACTGGCGGCTCATTAACATAATCTAGGAACTAAGCTTTGGTGACTGCAGGAATTGCTCATTGGTTATTTCGGTAAAGAAATTAAATAAAAATAAAATTAACATAATATATTCGATAAAAGCCGTCGCGAGTTTGTTTTTTTATTGCGACGGGTTGAGCACCCATGCCCCATCATCCCTCGACGCGTGACTTTACCGAAAGAGCCAATGAGTGTACAACGAGTTGAGTCATTCCTGCAGTTGACGAAAGCTTCAATTCTCGAATAAGTTATTCAGTTACCCAGCACCGCTCGTTGGGGGCGTGTCTTGTACCCCGGAAGTGAATATTACGTCACATCCTGCTGCCGCCATAACGTCGCGAGGTAACGAGAAGCTACCGTTGAAATCTGAGGTGAGAGATTTTCATCGTGGTGGTTTATTCTTAGGTTTTTTCGGTAAAGTCACGTAGGTAAAACATTAAAATTAATGAAAGTAAAATATTTTATTTTTCATTAATTTTAATGTTTTACCTACGTGACTTTACCGAAAAAACCTAAGAATATGAATCCTTGCAGTCACGAAAGCTTCAAATCTAGAATCGTGGTTGTTGTTGTGGTGGTTGTTGTGGTTGTTGTTGTTTACCAAGGTCGAGCCTCTCTCTCTCTCGTGTGGATGTCAATTGAGTCGCAGCGAGAATGGGAATCCATGTCCAGGTTGGGACATTACAACGCGGGGCCTAGCCACGCGGGGCCTCGCCTCCTGCCCTCGCCTGAAGGCCTTTGTTTGAATTCTCTCGCTTCAACTTGATCTGGACGGTTTCGTGACGGCAGCAGAAATAAAATAAATGAAGAAACAACCAATTTAATTTAGTTTTTTCATTTATTTTAGTTGTTTTTTCATAATATTTTTTTAATACACATTTTTTTTCATAAAAAAATGAAAAAACAACTAAATGTATTTTTTTTAGAGATACACACATAGGCACACAGAGAGATAAAACAGACAGAAAGGCACACGTAAATTTCGATTTAAAGCTTTCGTGACTGCAGGGATTCATCTTCTTGGTTCTTTCGGTAAAGTCACGTAGAAGGGAAGTAATAAAAAGAACCTGAGGACGGCTGCTTGCGTTGTGGCCAAAACGTCGTGAGAATTATTTTATTATGTTTTGTTTTTATTATTTTATTATTTTCCTTCTACGTGACTTTACCGAAAGAACCAAGAAGAGGCACACATAGGCACACTGAGAGAGACACATATGCACAGAGAGAGAGAGACAGAGAGAGATAACACGGAGACAGAGAGATACACACATAGGCACACAGACACAGAGACACACACATAGGCACACACATAATCAACACCTCTGTGACAAGGCCTTAAATAGAGAGAGAAGGGGGCTGAGAGAGAGGGGGGGGGGTAGAGAAATGAGCATGGCAATGAGAGATTTGGAGCTTTCGTGACTGCAGGAAATACTACAACACGAGGACACTTTCGGTTTTTATTTTATGTAACCAGGCCAAGCCCACTTGAGCTGCTGTACCGCTCTTATGATTTGAAGCTTTCGTGAGTGCAGGAATCCATACTCTTTGTTTTTTTCGGTAAAGTCATGTAGGAAGAAAAAATAAGTAATAGCATACGACGTTTCCTTTGCAACACGAGCAATCACCATCAGGTACAAATGAATGAGAAAGCAAAGCTTGCAATCGAAATTTAAAGCAAAGCTTGTAAACTTGAACTATACTCTTTGGTTCTTTCGGTAAAGTCACGTAGGAAGAAAAAATAAATTAAGTAATAGCATACGACGTTTCCTTTGCAACACGAGCAATCACCATCAGGTACAAATGAATGAGAAAGCAAAGCTTGTAAACTTGAACTATACTCTTTGGTTTTTTCGGTAAAGTTATGTAGGTACAAAATTAAATAAACTTATAACTACAATGCAATACAACACAGAGAGTCGGCTAAGATAACAGTCAACTCCCCACCTGGTATATTAACGTTCTTCCAAAGATTGATACATTTGAGAGCGAGAACTAAACACAGACACGGAGACACACAGACACATACACACAAGCAGAGAGAGATAACACAGACACACAGAGAGAGACACATAAGCAGAGAGATAACACACAGAGAGAGAGAGACACACACACAGGCACACAGAGAGAAAGCACATACAGAGAGAGACACACACATAGGCACACAGAGCGAGACAGACATAGGCACACAGAGAGAGATAACACAGACACACAGAGACACACACATAGGCACACACAGAAACAACACCTGTGTTGAGACCTTAAATAGCGAGAAAAGGGGGCTGAGAGAGAGGGGGGGGGGGGTAGAGAAATGAGCATGGCGATGAGTGATTTGGAGCTTTCGTGACTGCAGGAAATACTACAACACGAGGACTCTTTCGGTTTTTATTTTATGTAACCAGGCCAAGCCCGCTTGAGCTGCTATACCGCTCTTATGATCGTGAGTGCAGGAATCCATACGCTTTGGTTCTTTCGGTAGAGTCACATAGGTAGAAAATAAAATAAATCACGACGTTTCGGGCGCAACACAAGCGTCCGCTCTTGTTTTCAGAAGCGACCTGCCCACACAACAAAGGTGGGCTTTGTCAACGTGTGGAAATGACTATCGGTCAAAGGCTCTAAACTCGTGCTGATGTTCACTCTTAAATGTGGAGCGGCATCCGGAGGAAAATCCACGCCACCACGGAGAGAGAGGGAGACACGCACACTCAGCCATGTTGATTTGATCCTGAATTATTTGGAGTGAGGAAGCATTGAAAACGTTTTGGTTTAGCCATGTTTGTTTTTTGTAGGACACAGTTAGCCTGATAACTTTAATCTAAATTGTCCTATGGTTGTTTTTGTTGACTTGCAATCCCACTGGGATTTTCTGCATACAGAGTTGAAATGCGGTGTTTTTTTTGCTGTTTTTTCCTGGATTTTTTTGTTGCGTGTAGTCACTTTAAGATGTTTCTTGTTCACGTTTTTGTTTGTTGCGTTTGCCCCCGAGTCAAGAGCCACATAGCTTATGGGGTTATCTATATATAAAAGGGAAATTTGTGAATGTGTCTGTTCGAAATGTTTAGCATACGTTCCGACATGCAACAAACTTTAAATTTGGCATGTGGGTAGCTTCCAGATTGTACACAATGCAAAAAGTATAAAAATTGACTTTTGCATTTTGGGGGGGGGGGGGGGGGCGCAATAATGGATATATTTTGTACGGCAAGTGAGCGGTGACCTCACGTCTGTGATGTCACCCGCATGCGGCAGCGTCTGCTGACGTCACGCACCCCCCACCCTCCGCATAGGCCGTGGATTCTTTCAAGACAAGAATCCAAGTCTCGGGCGAATCCATGAAGTAAAGCTAAGACCTAACAAATTAAACTGAAACATTAATACTGAGCAGATGAAGGTGTGTGGCCAGGCATGGTTCTGGACACGCCACCACCTGTTTAACACGACAGTGTGTGGCAGTGTCAAGTTTGTGTTTGCAGTAAAGTCTATTAACTCTAATGAACACGGAGGTTATATGAAAACAATGGTTTCTTTTTTGTTTTCATCTGGAACTCTTTATGATAATGGCAACAGTCAGGAAGTTGACACAGCACACATGCAGCTGACGTTAGATCTGTTCATCCCAGCATTCAAGGAAAGCCTGGCTTCACACCTCTTAAGTTGCGATTGAACATGAATTTATGCATAACACAAGTAGTAGTATTTTCAACACCATTTGCTATGTCAGCTGAATTTAGCTCTTATAAATATTAATTTCGTAGCCAGACAGCCAAAATTGTGTGCTTGGAGTTTTGGGTTAACATTCATTTTGAAGATACGAAGGCTTCCAGGAATGTGTAGGACCATTTTCCCTCTCATAGTGCGCGATAACAGCCCGTGTGATGAATTTGGGTAACTTTTTAACTCTATCATGAATATATGAATACATATAGACGTGTTAGTCATGTGTTACTGTGTTTATATACTCTTTGGTTCTTTCGGTAAAGTCACGTAGATAGAAATAAAATAAGTAATATTTTTTAAAAAACTATTTTAAAAACACGCTTTAATGAAATGTACTAGTAATGGAAGAACTCCACGACTCCAGGAAGTGGCCCCGGGGCTTGCCATAACGTAAGTGACCGTGGTCAATTACAGCCAACGTCAGTTTATCGTGGACAATTAAACTAAAGCCGAAACTAAACATGTAAAAAAGATTGTTTAAACATTTTTAATTTAATGATAGAATATAGTATAGTGAGCGAAAAAAATATAGTGAGGGGAAAAAAAATAAGTAATTGACCCCTCTGCAAAACATGACTTAGTACTTGGTGGCAAAACCCTTGTTGGCAATCACAGAGGTCAGACGTTGCTTGTAGTTGGCCACCAGATTTACACACATCTCAGGAGGGATTTTTTCCCACACCTCTTTGTAGATCTTCTCCAAGTCATAAAGGTTTCGAGGCTGACGTTTGGCAACTCGAACCTTCAGCTCCCTCCACAGATTTTCTATGGGATGAAGGTCTGGAGACTGGCTGAGCCACTCTAGGACCTTAATGTGCTTCTTCTTGAGCCACTCCTTTGTTGCCTTGGCCATGTGTTTTGGGTCATTGTCATGCTGGAATACCCATCCACGACCAATTTTCAATGCCCTGGCTGAGGGAGGTAGGTTCTCACCCAAGATTTGACGGTACATGGCCCCGTCCATCGTCCATTTGATGCGGTGAAGTTGTCCTGTCCCCTTAGAAGAAAAACACCCCCAAAGCATAATGTTTCCACCTCCATGTTTGACGGTGGGGATGGTGTTCTTGGGGTCATAGGCAGCATTCCTCCTCCTCCAAACACGGCGAGTAGAGTTGATGCCAAAGAGCTTCATTTTGGTCTCATCTGACCACAACACTTTCACCCAGTTGTCCCCTGAATCATTCAGATGTTCATTGGCAAACTTCAGACGGGCATGTTTATGTGCTTTCTTGAGCAGGGGGACCTTGCGGGCACGACAGGATTTCAGTCCTTCACGGCATAGTGTGTTACCAACTGTTTCACCAAGCTGCTTGGCGATGGTCTTGTGTAGGTTTACAATCTTGTCCCTGACATCCTTGGAGAGCTCTTTGGTCTTGGCCATGGTGAAGAATTTGGAATCTGATTGATTGCTTGCTTCTGTGAACAGGTGTCTTTTATACAAGTAACAAGCTGAGATTAGGAGCACTCCCTTTAAGAGTGTGCTCCTAATCTCAGCTCGTTACCTGTATAAAAAACACCTGGGAGCCAGAAATCTTTCTGATTGAGGGGGGGGGTCAAATACTTATTTCCCTCATTAACATGCAAATCAATTTATAACATTTTTGACATGTGTTTTTCTGGATTTTGTTGTTATTCTGGCTCTCACTGTTCAAATAAACTTACCATTAAAATTATACACTGATCATTTCTTTGCCAGTGGGCAAACGTACAAAATCAGAGTGAGTTAAATAAAAGCATGTATTAAAATAAATCACAGCAGACATCTAGGCTTTCGCGATTTTCACCCGAAGACGAACGCTTGTGTTGCGTTCGAAACGTCATTTATGTTATTTCTACCTACGTGACTTTACCGAAAGAACCAAAGAGTATGGATTCCTGCAGTCATGAAAGCTTCAAATCAAGATTGTGTACATATATATGCGTATATTCATTCCTCTGTGCCTCGATACTGACGTGTAGATGGTATTTTCTGTCTGCAGCTGTCGCTTCCTCTGCAGAATTGGTCTGATGGAGCACAGGCAGTCAGCGCGGCTCGGTACGGCAAGGCAACAATGGGACCAGCGTGCATACAGCACGGATCGGACTGGAAGTTTGACACAGCACCAGAAAAAACACACGGGAGAGAAACCCTTCAAGTGCACTCTGTGTGAGATGGCGTTTGCAGATTCATCAACTCTTCAAAGACACCAGAGAAAACACACGGGAGAGAAGCCCTTCAAGTGTACTCTGTGTGAGATGGCGTTTGCACATTTATCAACTTTTCAAAGACACCAGAGAACACACACGGGAGAGAAACCCTTCAAGTGCAGAGTGTGTGGGAAGGCATTTTCACATTCACCTAATCTTGCAACACACCAGAGAACACACACAGGAGAGAAACCCTTCAAGTGCACTCTGTGTGGAATGGCGTTTGCAGATCCATCAAGTTTTCATAGACACCAGAGAAAACACACGGGAGAGATGCCCTTCAAGTGCACTATGTGCGAGATGGCGTTTGTATATTTATCAACTTTTCAAAGACACCAGAGAAAACACACGGGAGAGAAACCCTTCAAGTGCACTATGTGCGAGATGGCGTTTTCAGATTCATCAACTCTTAAAAGACACCAGAGAACACACACGGGAGAGAAACCCTTCAAGTGCAGTGTGTGTGGGAAGGCATATTCACAGTCATCTGATCTTGCAACACACCAGAGAACACACACAGGAGAGAAACCCTTCAAGTGCAGTGTGTGTGGGAAGGCATTTTCACATGCGCGATATATTGCAAAACACCATAGAACACACACAAGAGAGAAACCCTTCAAGTGCAGTATGTGTGGGAAGGCATTTTCACAGGTAACTGATCTTGTAAGACACACAGGAGACAAACCCTTTATGAAACAAGTACCGGAAGAAAATCCCAGCTTGGGCACTTTTAAAGGTATCAAGGCGGAATTTGAAGAGGTGATTGTGAAATGTGAAGAGGTGACGGTGAAGAGCGAAGAAGTGAAGGTAAAATGTGAAGATGAAAATTCGACTCCAGAATGGGACCTTCACATCGATGGAGGCAACGTGAAGCAGGAGGGTAATTCTGACTGTGAGGCAGAGCGAGGCAACTCACAGCAGTTTGTGGAAGTGGAGGTGTGGGTGGACTTCCTAGACAATACAAAGTCAAATGGAGACCCGGTAGATGTGTAAGCTTGAGATGATGTCGCTCCCAGTAGATGCACCTTTGTCACAGGCCTTTAATGAAAATAATGTGAAGTAGAACATTGAAATCCTAGGTTCAACCTGCAGGGTAAGAGCGGCCAGTCTTGGTGGATCCGTGGGTTGGGTAGATATCTCACCAGGAGCCTCGGTGATTCACACTGAACCCTTTGAGAGCCTTTGTCTGGCTCTGTGAGCCTCAGTGATTCACACTGAAGCCTATGGGGGGAGCCTTAGTCTGGCTCTGTGAGCCTCGGTGATTAACACGAACCCTATGGGAGCCTTATTCTGGCTCTGTGAGCTTCAGTTATTAACACTGGACCCTATGGGAGCATATGTCTGGCTCTGTGAGCCTCAGTGATTAACACTGAAGCCTATGGGAGCCTGAGTCTGGCCCTGTGAGGCTCAGTGATTGACACTGAAGCCTATGGGAGCCTGAGTCTGGCTTTGTGAGCCTCGGTAATTAACACTGAACCCAATGGATGGGAGCCAGTGACATGCGGTGAGGTCAGTGAGAGGGGGGGCACCGGGGGCGTGGCCTCACCAAGGGGGGGCGTGTCTGACACGCCCCCTTTAGTGAGGCAGATGTGATAGCTGCCTCCCCTGGTGCTTTTTCATTGCAGTTCATAACGAGACCAGCGAGCCTACGTATCTTTATACACATACAGAAGAACCTGTGGTCACGAACGCTTCTGACCACGACCAAATTGGGTTCCGACCAAACATTTAAAACATTTTTTAATCTGGTCACGAACACATACTCAGGTGGCGATCAAACCCTGCCGCGGCCGATTTCCCCTTCCGCGCCATTTTTGTTGTTGAATTACACAAAGCGTAACAGTTATGTATATAACTTTTGCTATATAAGATTCCTAGGAAGATATAAATTGTGTGAGTGTAGCCATACCCCTCCCCTCTCATTCAAGCCATAATTTAGAGAGCGAAAGCGCCGAGTACGTAAATCGCTAACATAAGAACCTGTTAATCTCTTCTCGCATCATTCATACGATGATGCGGTGAAGTAAACGTTCATACGATATTACGGTGAATGCTTCCAAAAACATTACTGTACCCAAATATTACTGTTAAATTACTTTCAATAGAAACATGAATTGCTCATACGAATATTCTCTCTCTCAGAATCGACCGACTGATGTAGCAGACGAAACAGTAATCTTGTTGAACGATTTTAAGCCTTGTCGCGGCAATGTTAGTTTTCTCTGTTCAAGGATTTCTCAGTGTTATGCAATGTTTTTACATTTAGTTTATTATTACACTGAATTCTATGGCATAGTTAATTATTTTTGTACTTAAAAATCTTTTAAAAAAATATGTATATACAGTTAGTAGGAGTCTGGAACGGATTAATCGTATTTACATACAATCCAATGGGGAAATATGTTCGAGTCACGACCAAATCGGGTTGAGACCAAAGTTATGGAACGAATTAGGGTCGTGACCAGAGGTTCTACTGTACTTGAACTAAGTTACCCGGACTATGGAAGGCGAGGACATGGAATGAACGGGTCTACAAACATTCCATTGGTGACATGCTGAGATAGTAACACGCACGCCCTTACTCGCCGCGTTCCATCCAGTGTCTGAGGGGTTGCGCAATCGGAGAGGAGGCTGAGTGCGTCGCTGCCTCACCTCTCGTCTCTCCCTGTACTTGCAGCGAAGCTCCGCAAATTTGGCGATTTTGACTATAAATAAGTAATTAAGAATTTTTTTTTTTAAAACACGCTTTTATGAAATCGTTGGAAAGGGGCCGTCCATAAATGACGTCATGCACCTGGGGGGGTCAGACATTTGTGACGATGTGTGACGAGGGGGTGTGGGGGTTGAGAAATATGACGTCACATCAACATGCGCAACTTTAAATAAATATAGACAACACGTTCTACTGAATTAAATCGACTTTTTAATAAAAGTTTTCTCCTACAACATCAGTGCAGCGCCACATTAAATACGCACTACAATGACAATAGTTTAAAGCAATTTGAAGCATGTTTTATTTGTATTGGCAGAACTCCACGTCTCCAGGAAATGGCCCTGATTCTTGCCATAGCGTAAGGAACCATGGCGAATTACAGCAAAGTCAGTTGACCGTGGACAATTAGACCCAAGCCGAAACATAACATATGAAAAATAATGTTTAAATGTTTTTTTTATATGTATGATAGAAATAGTATTGTCATCAGTATGACATAAGTATACCAAGTCTGCAGTCGATACCACATTGGGAAGTGGGTTAAAATTGAGTTACAATATTGATGATACAACAACAGACACTGAGTTAATATAAAATATTTTAAAATACTTTTTTTAAAAAAACGCTTTAATGACATGTACTATCGAAGCTGCCTCTCCTCCAGCCACCTTCCCTCATCGCCCCTCCCCTCCTTCCACATGCCCCGCCCCTGGGCGTGGCTCCTCGATGCTTGCTGTGACGTAAGGGACCGTGGTGATTTACAGGCAACGTCAGTTGAGCGTGGACAATTAGACGTAAAAAGATTGTTTAAATTATTTTTTTATTTTTAATGATAGAATATAGTATTGTCATCAGTATGACACACCTATACGAAGTTTGCATTCGATACGATATTGGGAATACGGTTGAAATTGATTTACAAAATTTATAGATACAACACATACAATAAGTTAAATAAAAGCGTGTAAAATGTTGAAATATATATGTTAGGATTTTGTTATGATATAACATCGTGTTGTCATCAGTATGACATCGCTATACCAAGATTGCAGGTCGATAGCACATTGGAAAGTGTAAAATTTGAGTTACAAGATTTCGTCTTGAGGATACAACAGACAAAGTGAGTTAAATAGAAGCGTGTAAAAATGATTGGGATCATCTTCTTGGTTCTTTCGGTAAAGTCACGTAGAAGGGAAATAATAAAAATAAAATAATAATTATTACGACGTTTCGGCCACAACGCAAGCAGGTCTGTCACCTGAGGATGGCTGCTTGCATTGTGGCCGAAACGTGAGAATTTTTTTATGTTTTATTTTTTATTATTTCCCTTCTACGTGACTTCACCGAAAGAACCAAGAAGATGAATCCCTTGCAGTCACGAAAGCTTTAAATCGAAAATTATTGGAATCGTACAGAAATGACATAACACCCAATTTCAAGCAGATGCGGTCCACCCTTCTGAAACGCCCTGTAATTTACGAGTTTTTGAATAATTGTAACCAAACACAATAAACCAGACACGTGAATTTGTGAACTTTCACCGCAACTTGTGTAGAGACCTTTAACCTGTGTAATCGGTCACGTGTGTGTGTACTTACAAAGATCCCCCCGGTATAGCCTTCACAGACTATTGGGGCAAGTGCTGTTAGCGGGTGGCGATGTTCGCACACTGCACCGGGTACGCATTTGAGGCTGAGTCGATGTAGGGGCGGTTCAGGACCGCAAAAAAAAAATCCACTGGTCATGGGGGCCGTCCATAAATGACAACGCGATTTGGACGATTTTGACCCCCCCACCCTCGTCACACGGCGTCACTGAAAGTCAAACACTCCTCAAATATTACGTCACACAACTCTGCCCCCCCCCCTTCCCCAATAATATAAAACATGCTTCAAATCGTTTTTAAACTATCGTCATTGTAGTGCGTATTAATGTGACGCCTGCACTCTGATGTTGTAGGAGAAAACTTTATTGAAAAGTCTTTAATTAAGTAGAACGTCATTGGAACCTCATTTGCCAGTAAAAATACGATAATTGTTTTTTTACCCTTCTATCTGGCAACAAAACTGACACCTTTTTACAAGGAGTCATGTTTGCATAGACCACAATACCTGCAGTCATAATGCAAACAAAAAACATAACTCTGATAATGTATGCACTGTCCTTGAAGTTGATTGGTCCACACCCGAGACATCTTTCCTTTGAGCCTCGTCTCACATGGGTTGACCAGATGACGCCAAAAGGCGCACAACTCAAAGACAATGCACCATCAGAGTATGAGAGCTCGGGGTAAGCATTTACACCATTGGAACCTCATTTGCCAGTAAAATATGATAATTGTTTTTACCCTCTTGTTGCCAGATAGAAGGTTAAAAACCAAGGAAAGCTGTCTCGGGTGTGGACCAATCAACTTCAAGGACAGTGCACATTATCAGAGTTATGTTCTTTTGTTTGTATTATGACTGCAGGTATTGCGGTCTATGCAAACATGACTCCTTGTAAAAGGTGTCAGTTTTGTTGCCAGATAGAAGGGTAAAAAAACAATTATAAGTAAAACGTGTTGTTCTATATTTATTTAAAGTTGCGCATTTTGATGTCATGTCACATTTCTCAACCCCACCCCCCCTCGTCCCACATCGTCACAAATGTCTGACCCCCCCCCCCCCCCAATAGGTGCGTGACGTCATTTATGGACAGGCTCTTTCCAAAGCCTCCTTTTTAATAAATGTTCTCTCCTACAACATCAGAGTGCAGCGCCACATTAAATACGCACTACAATGACAATAGTTTAAAGCGATTTGAAGGTAGTTTTTTTGGGGGGGGGTTGGGGGGCAGAGCTTTGTGACGTCATATTTGAGGGGGGTCTGATTTATGTGACGCTGTGTGACGAGGGGGGTGAGGGGGGTCAAAATTCGGCCAAAATAACGTGACGTCATTTATGAACGGCCCCAATACGCAAAACTGGAACTCTGACCCCCGTTCTCTGAAGTCACCACTAAGCATTACCTCATCGGTGTGAAACACCAAGGGGGGCGGTGCGCCTCGCTAGTGACGTCATGTCACCCCTGCTTGGTCACCGTCGATGTCTGACCCGTACAATCCTTATTTGGGCAAAGCTACGCCCAGTGACTGGCGGCTCATTAACATAATCTAGGATCTAAGCTTTGGTGACTGCAGGAATTGCTCATTGGTTATTCGGTAAAGAAATTAAATAAAATTAACATAATATATTCGTTAAAAGCCGTCGCGAGTTTGTTTTTTATTGCGACGGGTTCAGCACCCACGCCCCATCATCCCTCGACGCGTGACTTTACCGAAAGAGCCAATGAGTGTACAACGAGTTGAGTCATTCCTGCAGTTGACGAAAAGCTTCAATTCTCGAATAAGTTATTCAGTTACCCAGCCCCGCTCGTTGGGCCGTGTCTTGTACCCGGAAGTGAATATTACGTCACATCCTGCTGCCGCCATAACGTAGCGAGGTAACGAGAAGCTGCCGATGAAATCCGAGGTGAGAGATTTTCATCGTGGTGGTGGTGGTGGTTGTGGTGGTTGTTGTGGTTGTTGTGGTTGTTGTTGTTTACCAAGGTAGAGCCTCGCTCTCGTAGGGATATCAATTGAGTCGCAGCGAGTATGGGAATCCATGCAACGTGGGGCCTAGCAACGCGGGGCCTCGCCTCCTGCCCTCGCCTGAAGGCCTTTGCTTGAATTCTCTCGCTTCAACTTGATCTGGAAGCTTTCGTGAGGGCAGGAGAAATACAATAAATGAAGAAACAACCAATTTAATTGAGTTGTTTTTTCATATTTTAGTTCTACCTACGTGACTTTACCGAAAAAAACAAAGAATTATCTCGTTTAAACTTGGTCTGGAGCTTCGTGAGTGCAGGGATCCATACTATTTGGTTCTTTCGGTAAAGTCACGTAGAAAGAAAACATTAATTAAGTAATAGCATACGACGTTTCCTTTGCAACACGAGCAATCACCATCGGGTACAAATGAATGAGAAAGCAAAGCTTGTAAACTTGAACTATACTCTTTGGTTCTTTCGGTAAAGTTACGTAGGTATAAAATTAAATAAACTTAGAACTACAATGCAATACAACACAGAGAGTCGGATAAGATAAGTCAACTCCCCACCTGGTTTATTAACGTTCTTCCAAAGATTGCTAAATTTGAGAGAGAGAACTCAACACAGACACGGAGACACACAGACACATACACACAAGCAGAGAGAGATAACACAGACACACAGAGAGAGACACATAAGCAGAGAGATAACACACAGAGAGAGAGAGACACACACATGCACACAGAGAGAAAGCACATACAGGCACACAGAGAGATAACACAGACAGAGACACACACATAGGCACACAGCGAGACACATAGGCACACAGAGAGAGAGACACACACAGAGAGAGACACCACAAAGACGCACAGAGAGACACACACACAGATAGGTACACAGAGAGAGATAACACGAAGACAGACACACACATAGGCACACAGAGAGGACACAATGAGAGAGAGGAGGACACACATAGGCACACAGAGATAACAAAGAGACAGAGAGAGACACACATAGACACACACACATAGGCACACGGAGAGAGAGATACACAGAGGCACACAGAGAGAGACATACATAGGCACACAGAGACACACACATAGGCACACAGAGAGAGATAACACAGACACAGAGAGACACAGACACACAGGCACACGGAGAGAAATAACACAGACACAGAGACACACATAGGCACACACAGAAACAACACCTGTGTTAAGGCCTTAAATAGAGAGAGAAGGGGGCTGAGGCAGAGGGGGGGGGGGGGAAAAGAAATGAGCATGGCAATGAGAGATTTGGAGCTTTCGTGACTGCAGGAAATACTACAACACGAGGACACTTTAAGTTTTTATTTTATGTAACCAGGCCAAGCCTACTTGAGTTGCTGTACCGCTCTTATGATTTGAAGCTTTCGTGAGTGCAGGAATCCATACTCTTTGGTTCTTTCGGTAGAGTCACGTAGGTAGAAAATAAAATAAATCACGACGTTTCGGGCGCAACACAAGCGTCCGTTCTTGTTTTTAGAAGCGACCTGCCCACACAACAAAGGTGGGCTTTGTCAACGTGTGGAAATGAATATCGGTCAAAGGCTCTAAACGCGTGCTCATATTCACTCTTAAATGTGGAGGGCGATCTGGAGGAAAATCCACGCCACCACAGAGAGAGGGAGACACGCAAACTCAGCCATGTTGATTTGATCCTGAATTATTTGGTGGAGTGAGGAAGCATTGAAAACTTGGTTTAGCCATGTTTGTTTTTGTAGTACACTGTTAGCCTGATAACTTTAATCTAAATTGTCCTATGGCTGTTTTGTTGACTTGCATCCCACTGGGATTTCTGCATACAGCGTTGAAATGCGGTGTTTTTTCTGCAGTTTTTTATCCTGGATTTTTCTGTTGCGTGTAGTCACTTTAAGATTTTTCTTGTTCACGTTTTTTGTTTGTTGCGTTTGCCCCCGAGTCAAGAGCCGCATGGCTCACGGGGTTATCTTTATATAAAGGGAAATTTGTGAATGTGTATCTGTTCGAAATGTTTAGCATACTTTCCGACACGCAACAAACTTAAAATTTGGCATGTGGGTACCTTCCAGACTGTACACAATGCAAAAAGTATAAAAATGGACTTTTGCATTTTTCTGGGGGGGCGCAATAATGGATATATTTTGCACGGCAAGTGAGCGGTGACCTCACGTCTGTTATGTCACCCGCATGCGGCAGCGTCACGTAGTGTGGATCCTGACGTTACGCATCCCCCACCCCCCATCCTCCGCGTAGGCCGTGGATTCATTCAAGACAAGAGTCCAAGTCTCGGGCGAAGCCAGGTAGTAAAGCTAGTATCTAATAAATGAAACTGAATAAATAAATGAAACTGAAATATTAATACTGAGCAGATGAAGGTGTGGGGCCAGGCATGGTTCTGGACACGCCACCACCTGTTTAACACGGCAGTGTCAAGTTTGTGTTTGCAGTAAAGTCTATTAATTATATTGAAAACGGAGGTTATATGAAAACAATGGTTTAGTTTTTTGTTTTTTATCTGGAACTCTATGAGAATGGAAAGCAGTCAGGAAGTTTGACACAGCACACATGCAGCTGACGTTAGATCTGTTCATCCCAGCATTCAAGGAAATCTGAGCCTGGCTTCACACCTCTAAGTTGCGATTTAACATGAATTCATGCATAACACAAGTAGTATTATTTTCAACACCCTTTGCTATGTCAGCTGAATTTAGCTCTCATGAATATTCATTTTGCAGCCAGACAGCCGAAATTGTGTGCTTGGAGTTTTGGGTTAACATTCATTTTGAAGATACGACGGCTTCCAGGAATGTTTATGACCATTTGCCCTCTCATAGTGCGCCATAACAGCCCGTGTGATGAATTTGGGAAACTTTTTAACTCTGTCATGAATATATGAATGCGTATAGACGTGTTATTCATGTGTGACTGTGTTTATATTACTCTTTGGTTCTTTCGGTAAAGTCACGTAGGTAGAAATAAAAGAAGTAATATTTAAAAAAAAATTTAAAACACGCTTTTATAAAATGTACTAGTAATGGAAAAACTCCACGACTCCAGGAAGTGGCCCCGAGGCTTGTCGTAACACAAGCGACCGTGGTCAGTTACAGCCAATGCCAGTTTACCGTGGACAATTAGACCCAAGCCAAAACATAACATGTACAAAAGATTGTTTAAAATGTTTTTATTTAATGATATAATATAGTATTGGCATCAGTATGGCATAAGTATACCAAGTTTGCAGTCGATACCACATTGGGAAGTGGGTTAAAATGGAGTTACAAGATTTGAGGATACAACAACGACAACAATGACAACAACAACAGACAGAGTGAGTTAAATGAAAGCGTGTATTAAAATAAATCACGCAAGAACATCTCAGCTATCGCGATTTTCACCCCAAGACGAATGCTTGTGTTGTGTTCGAAACGTCATTTATGTTATTTTTACCTACGTGACTTTACCGAAAGAACCACATAGAGTATGGATTCTTGCAGTCATGAAAGCTTCAAATTAAGATTGTGTACATATATATGCGTATATTCATTCCTCTGTGCCTCAATACTGACGTGTAGATGGTATTTTCTGTCGGGAAAATGTCAAAACTGGGTGGTTTTTAACTTTTGCCGACAAAACTGGATCCCAAATGTCAAAACTGGGTGGTCTTGGAAAACGACAGGCAAAACAGGGTGGTGCTTTTTGATATGACAAAACTGGGTGATGTTCAATGTGGACAAATGTCAAAACTGGGTGAAGGTGTACGATTTAATGTATCATTTTGTACACGTTTAGGTCCTTGCGTTATTCATCCATATGTCGCCACAGATTTAGAGCATTCCAAATGATGTTTCTCGTGGCTCATGTTCCATACCTTGCACCACAAACTTCCCGTTTGCATACTGGCACAGTGTGCCAGCTCGCTTACTTGCCGTTTGTATACTGGCACAGTGTGCCAGCTCGCTACTACAGTAACACTTACTTGCCATATGTATACTGGCACAGTGTGCCAGCTTGCAACTACAGTAACACTTTCAGCTCGCGAACATACACGAACTTGCCATTTGTATACTGGTACAGTGTGCCAGCTTGCATGCTACACCTACTACAGTAGAACAACGGTAGATAGTGTTTGCGTCGAGAAGTATGGTGCTGCACACTTAGAACAAAACATGTTTGTTACATATATAAACTACTTCGACGGGCAAGAGCACTTGTTGTGGCCCTTGGCGCGACAGAAGGAGCACCGCGTGAGGCCCAATGGGCCACCTTCGCCACGGTTGCGAATCCGACGCTTCTTCAGGCGGCCAGCCTTCTTCTGGCGAGGAGGTGGCATCATGGTGTTGTCGCGTTGCAGCTCCTCGGCAATGGGCAGCTCGATACCGGCAACCGAGGTCCATGTCGTGTTGATGGCAGAGACTTGGTAACACACCGCACATGCGTCGTAGAGCTCGGGCATCCGCCCAAACGCCATGAGGGCACGAATGTAGTGCCGACACGGCAAGCCCATCTGCTTCATGTACCCGCACGTGCACGACCGAGAGCTGAGATCGACTCGGCGCTTGGCAGAGGCGTAGGCGTCTGGATCTTGACGTATGCACGCGTCGAGGTACTCTCGTAGATCTTGTACCTCGGGGCCAACGCCTGCTGAGCGTCGATGAGTCCTTGAGCGTACGGCGTAATGACACGCCCTTGAGCGGCCCACTTCTCGGCGTCGCTGCGGTGGGCAAAGGCCGTCGTCATCATGTCTTCCATGTGGTGCATGAGGAAGTGGAAGGGGTCCATCTCGCGAGCCGGCAGGGCCTCGCTGTTCGTGGACTCCACAAAGTTCGTCGTGCGCCAGCCGTACAATGGCGTCGTGTGCAGGTGCGGGTAGAGCGCCCACGTGTGGGGGTCGATCTTGTTGTAGTACGTGGCCGCCGCAGGCAGAGCTACGCCCAAGCAGCCCAAGGAGCTGCGGAACGCGGCCTCGGAGGCGCACCCTTGGGCATGTAGATGATGCCTTGGAGGTCGGGCGTGAACGCGGAGCCGATGTTGTCCACGCCGTTGCAGATCAAATGCCGCGTGCAGTGGATGAGCATGAGGTCCTTCCAGTCGGAGGCTAGGATGCCCGTGCCACGATCGCAGAAGACCGGCGTGCCGTCGAGCTCGATGTCGTTGGTCGTGCAGCAGTTGAGAAACCAGTCGTAGGCCGCTGCCGTCTCGGACGGCACCAGCGCCACGGCGAGAAGGACGTTGCGGTTGTTGCCGTCGCGCCCAACGAGGACGAGCATGGTTCCGTTGTAGGCGCGCGCCTTCATGTGCGACCCGTCGATGCCGACGACGCGTTGAAGACTTGGCTGCAACGAGCGTGCGATCGGGTTGCAGATGAACGCACCCCAGAAGATGCCCGCGTCTTCTCGCACACTGCAGGTCGTCGCTTGAGCTTGCCGAACGTCTCCACCAGCGAGTTGATGAACTCGAAGCCTGCATGGGCCGCACTCTCGTTCGCCGCGATGCACGTGTCCTTGGCGCGGTACATCATCCGGGTCGGGACAATGACGCGAGCAACGTCGGCGACCTGGGCAATGACAGTCGGTGCGGAGGTACGGGGGTTGGCGCGAAAGGCCGAACGGGCTGTCGTGTTCGCCTCCACTTGGCGCTGCGTGATCTTGGTAGTGCCCGTGCAGCCGTGGTGATCCGTGCACAGCCGAGACGCGGAAGCCGCGTCGTTCCCCCGTGAGCTTCGTCAGCTTCACCTTGAAGGAACAAGGTGTTGAACTAGAGCAGACGATGGCAACGTGCCGTCCGCCGCTTCGCTTGAGGTCAAGGACCGCGCGCTTGCCTTGTTGCAAAGCAAAGTCTTGGATGCCGTGGATGGCCTCGCGGCGCGTGGTAAAAGTCTTCTTGGGGTGGAGGGTTGCCATTCGAATGTGAGCCGTTCCTCCACCTGTTTCGTGAAAAATGCTTGTGAAAAATCACGTTTCTACGTCTACTTTCAATTTTTCACGAGACAATGTCTATTTTCATTGCCAGCAATTTGATTTTTCACACAATATTTCCGCCAATCACCGTAACGGTGGGCCAAAGGATTGACCAATCAACGAGATGCGCATTCGTTGGTTGTTCCGCACCATTGGGACCATGGTCAGGAGCGTCAAGCAGGCTGGTCCATCTCCCAAGGACGTCGCCTTTGTCTCTGTGCTTGGTCGTTTGGCGGGCTATGGTCGAATGCATGGCAAATTTAAGGGTGTACAGTAGCGCGTAGCATCAACCAACAATCCAAAAGTTTGGTATTGACGCGAGTCACTAGTCTAGGTCATCACGCAAGGTGGCAGTGCGCCCGCCTGGTCGCAAGCCCGCCCCGACTCACTTCCGAGTCCGAGCCGTAGCTTGAAATGTTGGTGTTGGGGTGCTGGCACACTGTGCCAGCGTACAAATATCAAGTGTGTGTAGTTATATGGTGCTGGCACACTGCCAGCATACTAATACCAAGTGTTTAGATGAATGGGGTGCTGGCACAGTGTGCCAGTATACAAATACCAAGTGTTTGGATGAATGGGGTGCTGGCACACTGTGCTAGTATACAATTATCAAGTGTATTTGACAAATGTCAAAACTGGGTGCACCCTGAGTGTCCAAAACTCAAGTTTTTGGCCACCCAGGGTGCACCCAGTTTTGACATTTGGGATCCAGTTTTGTCGGCAAAAGTTAAAAACCACCCAGTTTTGACATTTTCCCATTTTCTGTCTGCAGCTGTCGCTTGCTCTGACGCTTCCTCTGCAGAATTGGTCTGATGGAACACAGGCAGTCAGCGCGGCTCGGTACGGCAAGGCAACAATGGGACCAGCGTGCATACATCACGGTTCGGACTGGAAGTTTGACACAGCACCAAAAAACACACGGGAGAGAAACCCTTGAAGTGCAGTGTGTGGGAAGGCATTTTCACATTCATCTGATCTTACAAAACACCAGAGAACACACACAGGAGAGAAACCCTTCAAGTGCAGTGTGTGGGAAGGCATTTTCACAGTCACAAAATCTTACGCAACATCTTGCACAACACCAGAGAACACACACAGGAGAGAAACCCTTCAAGTGCAGTGTGTGTGGGAAGGCATTTTCACAGTCATCTTATCTTACAAAACACCAGAGAACACACACAGGAGTGAAACCCTTCAAGTGCAGTGTGTGTGGAATGGCGTTTGCACGTCCATCAAATTGTCGAATACACCAGATAACACACACAGGAGAGAAACCCTTCAAGTGCACTCTGTGCGGGAAGGCGTTTGCACGGTCACAAGGTCTTAAAGAACACCAGAGAACACAGACGCATCAGAAAATCCACAAGGAGTGGAGTCTGAAATCAGCTTGTGAAAGTCAAAGTGCCGTAAGGAGCCCATCCCTCATGAAACAAGTACCGGAAGAAAATCCCAGCTTGGGCACTTTTAAAGGTATCAAGGCAGAATTTGAAGAAGTGATTGTGAAATGTGGAGAGAGGTGACGGTGAAGAGCGAAGAAGTGAAGGTAAAATGTGAAGATGAAGATTTGACTCCAAAATGGGACCTTCACATCGATGGAGGCAACGTGAAGCAGGAGGGGAATTCTGACTGTGATGTAGAGGGAGGCAACTCACAGCAGTTTGTGGAAGTGGAGGTGTGGGTGGACTTCCTAGACAATACAAAGTCAAATGGAGACCCGGTAGATGTGTAAGCTTGACGATGTCGCTCCCAATAGATGCACCTTTGTCAAATATTAGGTTCAACCTGCAGGGTCTGTTAGTAGGGTAGATATCTCACCAGGAGCCTCAGTGATTCACACTGAACCCTATTGGAGCCTTCATCTGGCTCTGTTTAATGAAATGTACTGTCCGAGCTGCCCCCTTCCCCCATCGCAACTCCCCTCCTTCCACATGCCCCGCCCCTGGGCGTATCTCCCCGAGGCTTGCCGTGACGTAAGGGACCGTGGTGATTTACAGGCAACGTCAGTTGAGCGGGGACAATTCGAGCCGTTAAAAAGATTGTTTAAAAATATTTGTTTTTTAATGATAGAATATAGTATTGTCATCAGTATGACATACCTATACGACGTTTGCATTCGATACATTGGGAATACGGTTGAAATTGAGTTAAAAGATTTTTGGATACAACACATACAGTAAGTTAAATAAAAGCGTGTAAAATGTAAAAAATATATGTTTTGGATTTTTTTAATGATATAATATCGTGTTGTCATCAGTTTGACTCAGCTCGCTATACCAAGTTTGCAGTTCATAGCACATTGGGAAGTGTGTAAAATTTGAGTTACAAGATTTTGTTTTTGAGGATACAACAGACGAAGTGAGTTAAATAGAAACGTGTAAAAAATTAACCTGTAAAAACAAAGTTTTTCACTATAAATCCTTTATATGCGTGGCATCGGTTTCATTTTATTATTCATTTCTGTTTTTCTTGAGTAAGAGTTTCATTTTTATCACATTGGTATTTCAAATTAAATATAAGGAAAGTCGTATATAAGCATTATAAGGTTTTCAGTTTTTGTATGATTGTTTATATTGTACATTTTTGTTCTTTTTTTTGAAAAATTTTCTATGTTTAGGAAAAATATATGATTGTGTTAGTGACATTTTTTTTTCCTAAAAAGTGGAAAATTTTGGGAAAAAAATTTCACGAAAATAAATTGTCACGCACAACGAGTCTGTGCAAAATATTCTTTGGTTCTTTCGGTTAAGTCACGTCTATTTTAATTTATTGTTTTATCTTTAGACGTGACTTAACCGAAAGAACCAAAGAATAATTCCTGCAGTCACGAAAGCTCCAAAATTAAGATTATATGCAAAATGTCAGCTCGATTGGATCACGGGAAGTGGGTTAAAAAACGACCGAAAGATTTGCACGGCCGTAAGCGCGCAAGCAAGCAAGTGAACTTAATATAAAGGATTTAAAAATGATTGCGATCATCTTCTTGGTCCTTTCGGTAAAGTCACGTAGAAGGGAAATAATAAAAATAAAATAATTCTCACGACGTTTCGGCCACAACGCAAGCAGGTCTGTCACCTGAGGGGACGGCTGCTTGCGTTGTGGCCGAAACGTGAGAATTTTATTTTATAGTGTTTAATTTTTATTATTTTATTATTTCCCTTCTATGTGACTTTACCGAAAGAACCAAGAAGATGAATCCCTGCAGTCACGAAAGCTTTAAATCGAAAATGATTGGAATCTTACAGAAATGACATAACACCCAATTTCAAAGCAGATGCTGTCCACCCTTCTGAAACGCCGTGTAATTTACGAGTTTTGAATAATTGTAACCAAACAATAAACCAGACACGTGAATTTGTGAACTTTCACTGCAACGTGTGTCGAGACCTTTAATCTGTGTAATCGGCCACGTGTGTGTACATACAAAGACCCCCCCCCCGTATAGCCTTCACAGACTATTGGGGCAAGTGCTGTTAGCAGGTGGCGATGTTCGCACACGCACCGGGTACGCATTTGAGGCTGAGTCGATGTAGGGGCGGCTCAGGACTGGTTAAAAAAAATCGCCACTGGTTATGGGGGCCGTCCATAAATGACGTCACGCGATTTTGGACGATTTTTGACCTTCCCACCCGCGTCACAGCTTTCCTTTGAGCCTAGTCTCACATGGGTTGGACCAGATGACGCCAAAAGGTGCACAACTCAAAGACAATGCACCATCAGAGTATGAGAGCTCGGGGTAAGCATTTACACCATTGGAACCTCATTTGCCAGTAAAATATGATAATTGGTTTTACCCTTCTTGTTGCCAGATAGAAGGTTAAAAAACCAAGGAAAGCTGTCTCGGGTGTGGACCAATCAACTTCAAGGACAGTGCACATTATCAGAGTTATATTTTTGTTTTCATTATGACTGCAGGTATTGTGGTCTATGCAAACATGACTCCTTGTAAAAAGGTCAGTTTTGTTGCCAGATAGAAGTGTAATAAAAGACTCGGACGCTTCTCTCTGTCCTGTGTCCTTTATTTGGGTTCGATCTCTTTTCCCTCACGGCACTCCCCTTTACTCTTCGCTCTGCAGCCCCAGGCAGCTATCGCTCACGTAGCCCACTTCACAGCACTCCCCTATATACTCTTCGCTCTGCAGCCCCAGGCTGCTGTCGCTCACATAGCCCACTTCCCTCCTTGCAGACCCGCTGCTGTCTCGTCGCGCAGACCCCCGCTGCCGAACTCCACCCTTGCAGACCCGCTGCTCTCTCTGCAGTCTCCTCGCTGCTCCTCCAGCCCCGGGGTCGGTCACCGTTGGCTGACGGTGCCGATCCTCGGGGTGTGTGTGTGTGGCGATCTCGCCACTCTCTCTCTTCCCCACTCCGCCCTGCGTGGCCTCACACTTTCCCAGTCTCCGATCACTCCCTACTGCTTCCGGTTTCTCCCCTTATAGACCTGCACTCTCTCCCCACGTGACGTAACTCCTCCCCCCATGACGTCACCTCCGGAAGGTCGTCCACGCCCGCATTACAGAAGGGTTAAAAAACAATTATCATAAGTATAACGTGTTGTCTATATTATTTAAAGTTGCGCATTTTGATGTCATGTCACATTTCTCAACCCCCACCCCTCCCTCGTCACACATCGTCACAAATGTCTGACCCCCCCCCATAGGTGCGTGACGTCATTTATGGACAGGCCCTTTCCAAAGCCTCCTTTTTAAATCCTTTATATTAAGTTCGCGTGCTTGCTTGCTTGCTTAGGACCGTGCAAATTTTTCGGTCGTTTTTTAACCCACTTCCCGTGATCCAATCGAGCTGACATTTTCCACACAGACTCGTTGTGCCAGACAATTATTGTTCGTGGAAAAAAATTCCCAAAATTTTACACTTTTTAGGCAAAAAAATGTATTTTACATATATTCAAATTGAACGCATTCATGGCTTTGGCTGAACGTCAGAGTGTAAGAGCCCAGAGCGTAACCCCTCCACAGGCCGTGGCGGAGTAGCGCAGTTGGTAGCGCCCTCGCTTCCCATGCCAAAGGTCGCGGGATCGATCCCCGCGTCCTCCACAGGCGAATATATTTTTAAATCCTTTATATTAAGTTCGCTTGCTTGCTTAGGACCGTGCAAATCTTTAGCTCGTTTTTTAACCCACTCCCCGTTATCCAATCGAGCTGACATTTTCCACACTGACTCGTTGTATGTGACAATAATTTTCGTGAAAAAAAAATCAAATTTTGCACTGTTTAGGGAAAACAAATTAAATATGTAATTATCAATTGCTTAATGGTGGCAGACAATCATCTGACCCATAGGTGGCAGCCATCTCAAGCCAGAGGACGAGAGGACTCTAGCCGCCACGCATATAAAGGAATTATAGTGAAAAACTTTGTTTTTACTGGTTATGCTTATATTAAGTTCGCTTGCGCGCTTGCTTGCTTGCTTACGACCGTGCAAATTTTTCGCTCGTTTTTTAACCCACTTCCCGTGATCCAATCGAGCTGACATTTTGCACACAGACTCGTTGTGCGAGACAATTAATGTTCGTGAAATATTTTTTTCAAAATTTTACACTGTTTAGGAAAAACAAATTAAATATTTAATTACCAATTGCTTAATACTGGCAGACAATCATCTGACCCATAGGTGGCAGCCATCTCAAGCCAGAGGACGAGAGGACTCTAGCCGCCACGCATATAAAGGATTTATAGTGAAAAGCTTTGTTTTTACGGGTTACACTTATTAATAAATGTTCTCTCCTACAACATCAGAGTGCAGCGCCACATTAAATACGCACTACAATGACAATAGTTTAAAGCGATTTGAAGGTAGTTTTTTTGGGGGGGGGTTGGGGGGCAGAGCTTTGTGACGTATATTTGAGGGGGGTCTGACTTTGTGACGAGGGGGGGGTCAAAATCGGCCAAAATCGCGTGACGTCATTTATGGACGGTCCCGATACGCAAAACTTGAACTCTGACCCCCGTTCTCTGACGTCACCACTAAGCGTTACCTCATCAGCGTGAAACTCCTGGGGGGCGGTGCGCCTCGCTAGTGACGTCATGTCACCCCTGCTTGGTCACTGCCGATGTCTGTTCCGGTACAATCCTTATTTGGGCAAAGCTACGCCCAGTGACTGGCGGCTCATTAACATAATCTAGGAACTAAGCTTTGGTGACTGCAGGAATTGCTCATTGGTTATTTCGGTAAAGAAATTAAATAAAAATAAAATTAACATAATATATTCGATAAAAGCCGTCGCGAGTTTGTTTTTTTTATTGCGACGGGTTGAGCACCCATGCCCCATCATCCCTCGACGCGTGACTTTACCGAAAGAGCCAATGAGTGTACAACGAGTTGAGTCATTCCTGCAGTTGACGAAAGCTTCAATTCTCGAATAAGTTATTCAGTTACCCAGCACCGCTCGTTGGGGGCGTGTCTTGTACCCCGGAAGTGAATATTACGTCACATCCTGCTGCCGCCATAACGTC